TCACCTCTCTGGCTCAGCCGTCCACCTAGTTTTCACTGAGTCTCATAAGACAACTGCTGACAGAACCATTAGGAAAAGCTATAAGGATGTTCCCCATAATGGAGGTGATATAAAACCATGTTTGGTTTAAAGTGTCACTCACCTTTCATTAGCAACTCTAAAAGAATGAGAAAAGTTCAATACCCACCATTCTGCAATTTTCTTAAAGGCATAGAAGTTTAGCAATAATCCCACAAAATTTTTCACTGTAACATAATATATCACCCCTCAATCTCCTTTTTTCACTTACACCATGCAGAGTATTACTATGAGGATTTCCTCTTCCCGAAGATTACAATTAGGAAAGAACTACATATTTTTAAAGAAAACCAGAGCAATATGCACGCAGCCAGAACCAAAAGCATTCGAGAAATCTGGTGCACGTTCTCTTTTGAGTCATTGAGCAAGATTGTTCAAAAACATATATAACTATCTAAATCCTAACACACTGGAATCTTGTAAGACACATAGGTACAGTCTTCAATAAAAAAACAAAAAAAAACACAAACAAAAACAAACAAACAAAAAACAAACAAACAAAAAAAAAACAAAGAGAAACTTTAAAAGTAAGCTAAGCAGAGGATTCAGGAGAACTCACAGTATCACCATCTGTTTCAGGCACATTTAAATATGTCCACTTTCTGTCAGAGCCTTCTGGGGAGTTCTTTACAGAAGGCAGTGAAAAAGATTAAGAGAAGAGAGAATTAGATAGCTGCAATAAGAAAGATAAGCGCAGTGACAAATATTTACCTACACAGACAGGTAAAGGAAGTTTGTATTGCAAAGGCACAGCAAGCAAAACAGAAAAAGATATCACCAAATCGGAGAAATGCTAAATGTTTTCCATATACTTCAAGTATTGAAGGACACATGGCTCGAAGTAATTAAATAAAAATGAAGTACCTGCTGCATCAAAATAAATTACATTTTTGAATACCAATTCAGCAGATTTGGATTTATTTTGGATTAAGTTTAGATTTTTCCTCATTTACGTCTGCATGAAGTCAATCCTCGCTTAAGCTAGTAAAACACTAAGTATTCATATAGTTGCAGGATTGGCACCTTTGTAAGAAATTTTAGTTCCTCTGTGGGGTTTGTAAGAATAGATGAAGAAATGCACGCAAATGTTGAAACGTGTTACTCTGGGAAAAAAAATCCTGTAATAGAATATTGAGGGAAACATTTTACCCCCCTCTGCTTGTTAGAGCAGTATCTGGAAATTTTACCAATGACCTCAAGCACTGGCCACGTTTTCCTTAATTTAAAAAACAAAAAATGCTTATCCTTTTATTCCTTTGTACAATCGGCTGAAAATCCATGAACAGGACTGGTTAAAATTACTGGAGAATTAGCAGCACACACTGACAAACATGGCATATTTCCTGCTATTCCTAACATGCCTCAAGCTAAATGCCAGCCTTTACCATTTATGCATTTCCACCTCTAACGTACATGAAAGTGTGTATCCTTGGACAATGTTAGTGAACTTCACAGTCCAAGTATGCGCTACAAAATGCCTAAATTATCCCTGTAACAGGAAAGTAACAATTTGTGTGTCCACTTCAGAAAACAAACAAGGTTATACCAACATGAAGAGATGGACAAGTTTTCTCTGTTGAATTATTTTTTTTTTCTTGATCTTTAGATGAGTGGGAAGTGAGGGATAAATGATTGGAAAAAAAACTCAGCAGAAAGTCCTAAACAAATACATGACCTCTGACTCTAGAATTTATGCAAACAATTTCTGAATTGCTTACAAACCACAAATAAGATAACACAAGTTTAGTAGAAGTATTTGATATGCTTGACGTTTTTCCTCACAGACTCTGCTCTGTGGCATTTACACTAGACATACTTCATATACACTAAATGTAATGTCCTTAAGAGATCTATTCATTTTCCAGTTTCATAAGTAGTAAACAACCATGACACATGGAGGATGCAGAGCTTCATTTTAGTACCTCACTAAGAATTATATTTGTTTTGCATCGTATCTTAATGCTGCAGTAAGGCACTGGAACAATTCAGTCTTACTGATGTGATGAGTCTTGACAACACCACGTTACTGCGTTTAGGAGAGGAATCGGTGGAGGATGCAGGGAAAACTAAATACGCAGCTCATGCATTAGCTTTGGAAAAACACAAAGAAAAATACCCTAATGCTGCGATACAGTTCTTGTTTGATGTCACTTTCCATTTCTGCTCACTCATGCTACAGGTAGATTTCAAGTATCTTTACCCTTTGAGATATTTTTTCCTTTACCTCAAATGCTCATTGTCAGAGTACCCATACTATACTTTAAATACTCATATTCAAAAAAAAAAAGAAAGAAAAAACAAAGAAAAAGCATGCAGTTAGAGTCTACTGTTCATTAATAACATTTCAACGTGACTTAATAGTATACTGTCATTTGACAGATGAGTATATGAAAAAAATCTGCACAGTGCAGAAGGCTCAAAGACTTACAACAAGCAGAGTAGAGGCAAAAATAAGAGAGAGGGGGAATCTTAGTAAGCAGTAATACACACTTAAGGGGAATAGAAAAGACCTTGTAAAATTGACCTGCTCTTGCAGGGAGAAGCAGCTTGCCATTTGAAACTTTGCCATTAACATAGCATTGCAGTGACATAAAAAATCATGCCACAGTGAATACAGAGAAATGAGAGCACTGAGATGTGAGATTATCTCAAACCCACAGCAGTGGAAAAGCTACACTCTCCTTAAGAAAAAGGTCAAAGGGAAATCTACAACAGAGGACAAAACCCAATGCACAGACAGAACTCTGCCTCCAGTACAGAGGGAAGGCTCTCTAAATGCAGTTCCTCAATTAGTGGCCTAAACAGAGAAAGCACTTAAACATTTGCAACCCTCATATCAATATTCTGAGGAAATAAAAATGATTGTCTATAAAATCCATGGGATCAGCAAGCATTGGAGACAATGAGTCATAGTCAACCTCGGGTAAGTGGGTCTAATTAGAGCAACGTCAACAGGCTACATTTGTTCAAGTCCAATTTGAAGTGCCACGTCTTTGTTGTGTCTGTGTACTACACAAATCAGAAAGGAAAAGGGTCTGGACATGGCCAGATCTGAGATACCAAAATGCCCTGTGATGGCAATTTTCTCAGCCCTTTCTCCTCCCCAGGTAAGTCAAGCTCGGATTCAGCCAACTCCATCTCTTTGGGGTCAAAACTTCAGTTGGCATTTCCTGGGCCCTCTTGTATGGAGACCAACAAGGACACAGCCTCAAAAGGACAGTTTGTTGGTTACTGTCGTGGACCAAATTTTCTCTTCCCTCTTAGCATACAGACTCCTCATCTCTCTTCATCCTCTTCAACTCTCTCATCTTCTACCTGGAGTTTGTTGCAGTTTTCTGGTACTCTATATGCTATTCTTAGGCACAAGTCATGAAGAATAGTAGCCATAGAGGGCTCCAGGACTTTTCTGAAGATGCCAGAAGTTGCCTACATCTTAAATGTCAGATCCCAAAAATTAGGTACACAGCAGGTAGTAATAAACTAGACACGTTAAAAGCTACTTTTATTATTATTTTTCTTTCCCAGTGAATAACAGACTGCATATTGAACTGCACAAGGCTTGTTATATCAATTTTGTTGAATTCTGAGCATCAGTTACAACCTGAAAATGCAGCTATCCTTTTAAAACCAACATTAAGTTGCAACAGTTACACAACTGCTAGACTCAAATATCTGATTTACAGTATATAGTTTGTGGGTACGACAAGAAACAAAAGGATATAACAGAAAAATACTACAATTATCGCAGAAGATAGAAAAGTTGTCGACAATTAAAATCCCCAAGTATCTCCCTCCTCACTGTAAAGAGACATACTTTTCAGATGTGGGTGGCATAGCAATGATGTCATGAAGAATGGGAGAAGATGGGTTGGGGGATGGACAACAATGCCACAGAAGTGGTATGTATGCAAACACACAGGCGAGTATTTGTGTCCCAAGAACCTGAACAACCAGAAAGTCGTTTGAGATGGAAGATCTTTTCATTTCATGTTCTCTTCATTTAAAGTAAATTAAGATTAAGCACATGTCTACAAAGTTGAGGAGTTACATACTGCAAATACCTATGTTTTGCCTTCTCCACATGCAAGCTTGGTAGTAACCTGAGCATGTAAGGAAATCTGCTAATGAGTATGCAAAATGGTTTTATCTTTCCATATGCTGCAGAGAACAGTATTTCAGAATTGAACAGCATTAAAAATATAATAGAAAATCTAATGTTAAAGGATGTTTCTCAAGCGCAGGATGAAGGATGATCTGCTGCTGAGCGATATGAAGTTAAACTTCTTTTTGAAGGAACAACGGGCATTTGTGGAAGGAAAAAGCAAACGTTTTCTACTCAAGATCTTACTGTTGACAATCCACTTGTCAAATGTTCATGTTTCCTTGAGTAACGAGAGGCCACTATGTCATCAATATCATCTTCTGTTTCATCCAGATAATCCTAAATGACAAACAGGCATTTTAGTCGTTGCGTTCTGCTCCATATTTGGTCAGCCTCTGTCACCTACTTTTGTTTCATATATTTCCCACTTTAGGAAGATGGTGCAGGATGCATTCAAAATTCTAATCTCTAGAGGAATTTCGATTTACATTTTCCACATCTTTGCACAGGCACACAGTACAAGGGGAAAAGATGCTGTTAGGGTTTCAGGGTTCAATTGCTTAAGAACTGAAAAACTTGACACATATACTTCATATCTTATTCTGGAGGTGCACACTTCTGCATGGCCAACAACTGCACACATAAACAAAACCCACTTCCATACCTACTAACAATCCCATGTGGATTACTTTATTCTACTTACTACTATTTGCATTCAGGAGTTCAGGTTCAGAAATCTTAGAGGGGCACAGTGAGAACTTTTAAAATCTTAATGAAAGAAATGAGGGAATTAAGATCCCATACCAGGGACCAGGGGATCATCGATACTGGTTTACTGGAAGACATTTTGTAGCTAGAAGCCAGCAGATGATTAATTCCCTGGTTACAGCCCAGGTTCCACGTTTTTATGGGACATATTTTTTTATAATCAGCCAATTCAGTTTTCCAATTATTATCCATATTTATATCAGTTACTCTCACACAAACGAACAAGCACACAATTTGCATTGCACTTGCACGCTTTCACACTGTCATTGATGACAGGTGACGATTTCATGAACATGATCATTAACACAGACCGACTTTCTAACAGGCAACACAGAGTTCCAGGTTACTGTCAAACCACAGGGGAAGAAACTTGTCCTGCCATCATACACACTGAATATATTTGAGGGGTAAACAAAAATCCAGTTGATGTGCATGTTTTAAAAATAATTAAGTTCCTGTATTATTTTAATAATTTTTAAAAATGGAGGAAAAAAATCAGTAATTGCACAGCTTCATATATACACTTGAATTTTAATAACTAAGACTGAACTGTAACATCTTTAGCTTATATACAGGAAAAAATAATTTTCATTTTTTAAACACAGCAATAAAGTAAAATCTAAAAAAAAATCTGGTCAATGGTCTTAATAGGACTGTTAACTTTAAGTAAAAGTTACAGAAAAAAAAAACAACAGACAGCTATCATCCTATTCAGTGTAGCTTGGAAATGTCAAGTGTTTCCTTAAACCTTATGGCAGGTATTTTGAAAGACTCTGCTTTTAGTTTTAATGGAAGTCAAACGTTCAACTTCCTTATATCTGCTATGCAGCTATAAAAATATCCCGTGGTGACCTACCTCACACTATTGCTTAGTCGCTCTCACTCTTTTGAACTAAACAGAGAAGCACTGTTTTCAAACTCAGAAGCTTCAAAGATTTCTGTGCTAATCAGGTAAAACAGAGCAGAGAAGTGCTGCTGGAGAGTTGAATTGTCACAGTTCATGTGAAGATCTGCAGAGCATTTGTCATTAGCATGCATAAAACTGTTACATCTCTTCTTTGCTCCAGTGACTGAACTGAAACAACATCAGCTGAATGTGATATAAAATTTTCTATTGCTACTTTCCAATTGCAATTGTGTATTGAATATTGAGCAAATGGAAATCAGGACAAGTCATCACTCTATTTGGGCCCAAAATTTACATACTGAAGCAAACATTCCTCTTAGCTTCATGTTCTTACAATGAGCCTCCTCTGCTGGTCTTTTCCTCCTCTATTCAGTGCACTGCTACCACTCCACAGACAAAGGAGTCACAGAAATCTTACACTCTAAGGAAAAAGTTCATGGAGACCCTAACTATTTCAGGAAGACAGACAGAGCACTGAATCCTTCAAAAGTAAAACACAAAAAAAAACTAAAATAAAGCAAACAAAAAAAAACCACCCACCCCACTCCTCCCTCCCACTGTCCTCATTGACTTCAGAATTCAGACCAAGTTTAAAACTCAGCACAAGAATACACAACTTACTCTTGCCCATACAACGGGAAGAAGCAATTCTGGTAACACATGCAAAACTCTTTCCTTTACACTGTTGTATACATACCTGTGGACTTTAAAATGAAAATGCTACATTTATATTGCTGAATAATTAAATACAGGACAAAAAAAAATAAGGCAACCTCTTTAGATTGGGGTGTTTCAGGTTTAGACACTCAAATATTCACAGGGCTCCACAAAAAGTCCTGATGACAGCTAGCTAAGTACCAATTTTTGTCTGCAAGCAGATATCTAAAACTAAAAAAAAAGGTAAACACTTAACCTATGCTCATTATTCATTTTGCACCACAATGATTATGTTTCTCAGGAGGTGTTACAGAACTGCAACTATGTAATTGGTTAGTGTTATAAGCTTATTAAAGTTAGAGCTAGCAGGACATTAATCTCACGGTCTCCAGTGGGGGTTATAAAACGCATATTATCCCATTACTTCTAATAAAGCAGCTGAGCATGTAATGAACACTACTTCGTCAGGAATTCAACACACGCCTCTCCAGATAAGGTGCTCACACTTGAACGCAACACTAGATTTAACTGGTTCCCCATATTCCTTGACAAAGACGTACCACAGTGGGCAGGTTTCTGCCCTTTTCACTACCAAGGGCAATACGAAGTTAGAGAAGCAAAATACTCATTCAGTCCTCCAGCTGATCTCTTGGTATGTGTAATGGGTTTTCCTGATAAAGCTGGGAGCAATGTGGCTAAAAGGCTTTTCCCACCCTTTCAGCTGATAAATTCCAGCGATCTGCGTATTCTATCGACATGTGCCATCTCCCTCACCACTGCCATCAGCTCCCACCACCTCTGAATAAGAGACTGAAGGACCTCAGCTAGCTCCACCAGCTGTCCAGGAGAAAAGAAGGTGTAACTTTTCTCAGGCTGCAGAAACCATTGTTATTTTCACCAGATATCTTTCTTTTGCCTCTTATATCAAGCATCAAAGAAGCTAAACTCCA